TTTGCAAAGAGCTCGTAGCCACCGCCGACGAGGATTCTACAGCAGTAACCAAAATCAAAACATCTGCTAAGTGTACTATTATGATCAGAATACTTAAATTTGTAAGAAAGGCGCAGAAGATTATCGATAAGAACCCCAGAAAGTCAATTAACGCAATGCCAGGCACTCAACCAGAATAATTTTGTAGGAAGACCTTCAATTGAATGTAATACAAAAGAAAAAAAAGAGGTAACATTAGAGAAGAAAACTGGATCAGGATGTCACAACAGGAAGAGGGATCATCATTTCAACATATAGCTAAAGAGATCAATTAGAAAAAAAAACAAAACAATTTAGGACCTTTGGCACGTGAGAGAGGAGTTTCACCTATGACAATCCAAAGAAAAAAAAAAGACTTGAAAAGGAAATCGTACGTGAAACGTGTGAGGGCACCTTCTTGCTCCAGGACAGAAAGATAGAAGGCTAGAGATGGCGAAGATCATCAGGAATAAGTTGAAAAATAATCCTAGAATAATATATATATATATATATATATATATATATATATATATATATATATATATATTATTCTAGGATTATATTCCAACTTTATTTATATTTGAACTTTATTGCAATCCTTCGTGAGCTTCTGATCCTTAGCTATGATTAATTAATGATAAACATGTCATTTTCGTTCATAATCGATTTAATCATGATTCTTCTGTTAAGCTTGGAGAGTAATTATACGTTCTTATTGCTCAAAGTAGAATCCAATAGGTTTATAAAACCTCGAAGAATTCCAGTATAATATAGTAATCATAAAAGATAAAACGGTTTGAAGCTTAATATTATAACAATTGTACAATTTTGCCGTTACACTCTGTGTATATATATATATATATATATATATATATATATATATATATATATATATATATATATATATATAATTACATTGTTTAAATTTGCTATATTCATCGGGAAAGAGTTTTTTAACATCAGAAATAGAACGCCTCGTAGATAGTTGTATAGTAATTGCCTTTATTTTTTCAGTTACCTCTTATATATATATATATATATATATATATATATATATATATAATAAAAGGCTTAAACACTAATATTCCATGGAATATTAGTGTTTAAGCCTTTTTTATTATATCCTTACTCTGTCCTAGACATTGAGTTCTACCTGGATCCTTCCTCTTGAAATTTTTTTTTTTTTCTGAAAATCTACATGTGTGGAAATTTTTATATATATTTTGCATATGTATGTATATTTTCCACTAATATTATCTATCTATCTATCTATCTATCTATCTATATATATATATATATATATATATATAACATCAAATACGAACACGTCCATAATATACTGACCATGTTTATTAATTAAACATATGTGTACATCTCAGCAGCTTACACATTTGAAACAGCTAACTATTATGATATAAAAAATGTCTAATAAGCTATCCGAAAAGCTCTGGGAACGAAGAGCCAGTTGGCTCTTTTCTGATCCTTGTCAAAGTTTTTGACGCACACATAACACAATAAAAACATAACCTATTTTCAGTCATTTTTAATAAACCTGTATTGGAGAGGGATTGCTCCCCCCCACATAGACACACACGCACATACACACACACACATACACACACACATATTCAATGTTTTTCGATAAAATAATCGTGTTCGCTCAGTCACTGGCGTGTTTATCTAAAAATAAATACGCTTAAATTCACCTTCATCCCTGCCGTGCGCCAACGGCTTAGGGGTAGATTCTCCGACTGACGCCAATTCAGCCTGATTACGATCCTAGCTAGAGGCAACCAGAAGTCTAGCCACACTGATGTGCTGTGATGTAAGCGAAACAGTCTGTCTGAAGATGACAATATATATATATATATATATATATATATATATATATATATATATATATATATATATAAAAGTGAACAATTTTCAACATTAGAGGCGACAGGCTGTTTCACCGATTGCGTCTAGCATGAAACAGCCTGTCGCCTCTAAGTTTTGACTTCAATATTTACTTTTATATTTACACACGCGAAATCTCTGATATTGAGCACTTCATCCCATAAATATAGCACACCTTAAGAGTATATTTTTCATATATATATATATATATATATATATATATATATATATATATATATATATATATATACAAAAGCACACCAACTAACCTCAGCCAAATGCCATTGCGGAAAAATTCTATTTTTACAAAAAAATTAAGACAAACAAAATAAAATCAACAGATCCGTGAACATCCATGAAACATATGTAACAATTAGTAGTGATCGTTCATTGTTCACCGGAAGGTTTTTAACAAAATTATATTAAAGCTCTGCTATTAAATATGTCATTGATATTCTTTTTATTGCAGTTTGCCTTTGCAGCATACTCCCTTAAGATTTGCATACTTTGCACATTACTTAAAGGATATGCACTTATATGGGATACTTTAAGGGCCTGTTATTGTTGAGTACTCTTTTGCTTTGAACGTTATGTTGCTTTGATGAAGTCACACTGTTTTCCGTGCTATCGATCACTTTCTAAGCAAGCGTTTGATTTTTTCTTGTGTTTTTTTTTATTTTCTCCAAGAAATCGTAATTCTTCGGCTTACCATCTGAGCCGTATAGGCATTTCCACAATCGCTGAGTTTAGGTGGTGTTTGAATATTGCCTACACACCAGCTACCCTTGTGGTAACATCGAGAGCTAACCGATCGGGTATAAAATGCCCATTTTCACACAAAAAAGTACCTTCTCCATTCCGACTTTCTTGAAAGCCATATCTGCTCTGTTTTGTATCCGAAACGTAAACAAGGCATTTTCTAAATAATTAGTACATTTTATTTCTACATTAGTACATTTCACATTAGTACATTGTATTTTTAATTTGTAATATGTTTTTTACTTCTATCGTTATTACCCGTATTTTTGCTCTATTTTGTAAATAGTGTTTGTCTATTGGCCTTCAAAAAACTGTTTAAAAATTCGAGCCTCTACTCAAATAAAGATATCCAAAAAATAACATTCAAATATATAATTTTAAAAGTGTTTATTTTTATAGAGAAAGATTTCTCACAATCAAGGTAAGGGCGTATTGATATCTACTTATATAGACACTCCGTCGATTGATTGATATCGTGAACAAATATCTAGTAAGATATTCCGGAGCTGTTGGTATTTCTTTTTTAGATTAGTCAGTTTTTTTACGAGAGATTTTTCTGAGAGAACAGAAACTCTTCCAAGAATATTGAACCATAATGTTATGGGCTTGATCGTCATAGCTCAAGGGGTAAACATTCTTATTGAATTATAGTAAAATCGATCTGTTTAATTCTTATTCTTTTTCCCCAACCTACTTCATCATGAATATCCCTACAGGTGAGGTCAATGTATCAGACACCAACTTCCTGAAGTGTTTTCTATCTGATGTCAACAGATATACGACTGTCCATTTTCTGTCTACTCTGTTGGCATGAGTCCGTTATCAAATAATTTCGGAATCTTCGATCAAAGCAAGTGGCACGAATCAAACTTTGGTGCACGACAGAAAAACGATCACTTGACTGCATTTAAATGTCAAACCATTTAATGCTCTTTGACTTTTTAAAATCCATGAGCAGTTCTGATTTGATGGCGCAATACAAAAATGGTCATTACCTATTTTAATATTATTTTCTTTAGGCATTATCTTATTTAGAACGTTGTTATACTTTTTGATTAATCGAATTCAATTTTCATATCATGGCTGATTCGATAATTATTCTGGATGATCTATAATGGACATTTTGTAACCATTTTGTTATTTTTAAAATCAAAGAGATGGTTTTTTTTGTCTATGGGCGAATAAATAATTTAATATATCCTCGACTTTTATAGCACTTCATATTTTGTAAAACTTCCTTATGTCTTATCAATATAAATCTCATCCCATTTACTACAACGTATATAAGATTTATTTAACTGAAACGTATTGTATTATATTTTTTTGTTTTTTGCATAAGGTGCATCCGAAAGGTAGATAAACTGTAAAAATTAATGTTTTTCTTGTTATTGTAAGAGTACTTTTGATCGTTTTGAATATTATTAACAACTACATTCTGCCAGTATTGTAGACAAAATTATTGTCAGCTATATCCTGGCATTTTTTTTATCACCATGTGGTATAAACTTGGTGAAACCATTTTACGCCTGACGTTACTGATAGAACATTAAAATCTTTGATATAGTCGACTGAGTTTATATATATATATATACACACACACACACACATATATATATATATATATATATATATATATATATATATATATATATATATATATATATATATATATATATATATATATATATATGCATGTTTCATTAAAAACGACAGACAAGGTACTATTGGTTAAACTTTTTTATTTAATTTTTCTTGTGTTCGAACAAGAGCTTTCTTTTTCTGGACAAAGGGTGTGTAAGAAATGTCCAAATGTTTTATATATCCGAACGCTTTCGGTTATACCTTTAGCCATTATCAAGGATAATGTCCAGAAAAGAAAGCTCTTGTTCGAACACAAGAAAAAATTAAATAATATGTATATATATATATATATATATATATATATATAACTATACTCGTTTCGAAAACCCTCGAATTTCACTGACGATCCGTTTAGGTGAAACCTAGGTAGGTTTGTCTGGCTCACTAGGTTATATATATATATATATATATATATATATATATATATATATATATATATATATATATATATATATAAACACATGTACACATCAAGTGCTCCAGACCAACTGCGCATGTGCTTTAAAAAGGTTTCGGCCCATTAAACTCAGTACCTTTTGATGCGAATTTCCCAGTAATCCATACACTGTCTTCCACCGCTTTTTTGACTCAGGTCTTTATTACATTAATCAGCATTTGAATACCAGCACACTAGAGGAGTCTTTTTAAGGAAACAGCACGAAATCCTCTACAGCCAACCTCAAATGACACCAGGGTGCAGCCGTATTCCTTCACACAGAGATCAGCCACCAGTTCCTCATACCGAAACAGCTTTCTTTCATGAGCCTCTTCAATCCTTCCTCCCATACCACCGTCAGCTCGCCAAGAAACAGATCTTTCTTCTCGCTATCAATCAAAACTATATCTGTCCTCAGTCCAGACAAAATAATCCTCCCCTAGTAGGTGTAGCATCAACCAACACTGTCCACTTCTTTGAACCCTCTGAACTGGTTTTCTACCTTGTGTCATTAACAATTGGCTTCAGGAAGGCAATCCTTCACAGGTCTGATGAGGATATATTAGCACTTCTCGTAGCTGTTGCCACAACCTCTGGGGGAAAATTATATCTGAAGGTGTACCAGCCAGTCTGTGGCGCAGGTTTCCGTATGCACCACACAACCAGTAGGACGGTGAATCCTGCACTCCCCATCTCCGCAAATTTGACTGTGATAGCACAAACATCATATGCTGCCTGAATGAGGAATTTTAAATTTCCTGCGCTAAGAGACCACCAGATCAACTGATCTGAACACCATCAATACCCTCCCAGTTGAGCCATCGACCCTGCTGCGCCGGTTGGACAGACTGAAACAATCTTTAAGCTTTCAAAATCCCTGTTCCATTGGCCTCTGACCAGAATCGCTCTCTCTCGCTCAACTAGACCAAGTACAGAACGAACCTCCCTTGTAACACCCTGACCCCCTGCCTGCCTTTACCATCCCTTCCACTGCTGACATCACGTCTGATACTTTCCGCCTTCTTCCTGTCTTCACCCCAGGCGCATTTTCCCGGATTACAGCATCTTTAGATTCACACAGCATAAAATGCAATCTTACCTTTGCTACTCCTCCACCAAAGAAGTAACAGGCAACTGAATATCCTCCCGCCTGAGGTGCCATACAAAGCGACCGGCAACAGAATCCTCGCAACACCAAGCCACTCCCTTACGCATTTACTGATTTTCCTCTCAATTACCTCAACTCGATACAGTGCCACCTCATATGTAGTTAGAGGTCACATTAGTCTCGGCATCAAACCAAAATGCCAGGTTTTATTTTTCCTATGTAGACCACATTGGTTTATGCTTCGCAGTCCCGTCTCCGCTTGTCGCTGGATTTCAACCCCGCGGTGACGATCTGTCACAGGGAAGTTATACCACCTTCCAAGACTCTTCACACCTTGCTCCCGCACTGTTAGTATTTTTTCCCCTGTGATCGAAAAGACTTCATTAATGACAAAACCTCCATTCATAGACAGTGACCAGCTCTTCCTTGGCCATCTGATCCCCCTCTACCGAATCTCAAGTCTGTCTAGAAGCAACAGTGCTATTTTCCTATCCTCTTGAATTACTGTTAAGTCATCCATAAATGCCCGGATTTTGACCTCATTCTGCAGGAAGTTTTACTCTGGTTTCAGACCTCTCAGGATCACCTCCATCACCATCTCAAACACCACTGGAGCACATCTGATAGCAATTGCCCTCTGCTGCTCCACATATTTTGTGGTGTAGTTCACCGTTGAAAAATGCAACATGAAGCAATATATACCCAGGCAATCACTGAGTCTCTGCGGAACGTATAACTCCAGCGCCAGCTGTATTATTCTATGAGGAAGTGAACCGTACGCATTAGCAAAATCCAGCCAAATGACGTGAATATTCTTCCTTGCAGTCTTCGCCTCGTGGATCTTAGACCAAATCATTGACACATGCTCCAAGCACCACGGAAAACCTGGGACTCCTGCCTTTTGGATACTAGTGTTTATGTAGATATTTCCGAGCAGGTAGCCCGTCAGCCTCCTAGCAAACACAAAGAACAACTTTCCCTCAACGTTCACGACAGAGATTGAATGAAATTGAGAGTCAACGAATTCTCCTCTTTCAGTATATACACACCATCAGCTCGAAACCAACACTCCGAAACATCACCAACTTCCCAAATCTTCACAAGAAGCCTCCACAGACACCTCAGCAGCCTGGGACCCCTCTTGTGAGCAGCATATGTTACACTTTTAGGAGCGACTGCAGAACATGCTCTCGACTTCCGTATAATTCCTTGGACCACATTCCAAGTCACTGGGGACTCCTCAAAAGCTACTTCGTCAGGCCTGGATAAACGTGGCATCACCTCCGCTGGAACCTCCCTGTTGGCATCAGAGTACGTGTTCATAAGGTGTCTCTCCAGCTAATCCTGCTCAACGTCCCCTAGTCTTTTCCCTAAACAACTGCTTCGTGAAACGGAAAGGACTTTCTGTGAACGATTTCCGGGCCCTGGCAGCCTTCTGTCTCTTTTTGGCAAGCAGCTCTGCTCTCCTCAATGCGCTTCTTTTTGCCTTCCACGATTGGCTTGATTTCCTCTGCCCTCTGCTCATCAGCACGCATTGCTGCTCGTAATCTTCGCATCTCTTTCCTCAGTGACCGGATGGTTCTCTACCGCCGACTTTCCTGCAGTGGAGTTAAGGACTTAGCTTTCATTTCCTTCAACTTTATTACCCCATAGTGACTGGTCTTGTCCCCAAGCTGGCACGCTTTCCTTCCTGGACCACCACTGAGTGTATGGATGGCTACTGATAATTCTTCATATGACCATACTCTATCCACAGAGGAAAGCCACTTGATAATTTGGTGACTGGAATCAGCTTCCAAAAAAAGGATCCTGCTGGAGACTGTGGTATTCCTCCTGGTCGCGACATTCCGACGACTTATCGGCTACTGTCGTACGCTTCTTTGTCGCTGAATCACCACAACATTTCATCATGGTCTGGTGTATCTTGAGACCCTTTGCTGGCTTGAAGACATCACCTTACAGCCATCACATTCCCTCTTACGGTACATTTGTCATTACCAGATTGACTGTCCATTTTTAAATTCCTTGTAATCGTAGCAATAGCTTTAATATATTAAAGAGAAAAAAAAGCCGCAAATGTTTTTGATTATAATCTTGATTTTTTTATATACTTTATTCAATATATTTTGCTACACGAGTTTTGGGTCTTCTGACCTTCATCAGGTGAAGGATGGTTATTTCCACATATTATTGAAAGGAATTATTTTTCTTCCTATGTTAAGTTTTTTAACCACTGTCTTTTTGTGTGTAGTAGTGGACATCTGAATCCATCATGGACTGGAATATTTATATATATATATATATATATATATATATATATATATATATATATATATATATATATATATAATAAAAAGGCTTAAACACTAATATTTCATGGTCATAATTTATTCCATTGGAATCGTAAATACGATCCAATTCATCAGACCTACATATTCAAAAAGAAAAAAGAAAAAACAACTCCAAAAATAAAAAGTAGAATTGAGTGAGAGTGTAAGTATGAGAGTGTGGGACGACTGTTAGAGCTATAGAGAGGGGTAACAGACGAGACCATGGAATATTAGTGTTTAAGCCTTTTTATTATATCCTTACTTTGTCCTGGAAATTGAGTTCTACCAGAATCCTATGGTTTTGAAATTTTTTTATTCAAAAAATATGTATGTATGTGTATGCATGTATGTATATATATTTATATATTTTGCATATGTATGTGTATATTTACCACTAATATTATCTCTATCTATCTATCTCTCTCTCTCTCTCTCTATATATATATATATATATATATATATATATATATATATATATGTGTGTGTGTGTGTGTGTGTGTGTGTGTGTATACAGTGATAATATGCAATCTTTATAGGGAAAGGGAACTCAATATAGGAGAGAGCGTTTCTAGATTGTGCAAACAGAGATCAACATTGCATGGTGAATGTCAGTTTCACACTAGAATGCGATCATTAGACTGGGTGAGTAATTAAATTGAAGCCCGAAATTGACAGTCGCTATGCAATATTGACTCCAATGTTTAAATTTTATCTATCTAGCTAGCTAGCAAGCAATAAATAAAATTATAATTTCAACTACACTGCCCTTGGTCGGATTTTCGCGAATGCGGTATCCATTTTAGTTTTCTCTTCGAGCCCCGGCACAAGAGTTGTGAGTTCAATACCTGGTTAAGGCAGTGGAGAACTTGGATAGGGGAATTAGCAGGAGACAACTAATAACTGACATCCATTAGACATGTCACGTGGAACTAGAACAGTCTACCCCAGTGAGCGAAATAAAGTGTTCAGTTCATCATTCCAAACACCTGAAGAAGGCGGGAGCGTACAACGGCCGAAACGTTGTTATAAATATGGCAACAAAGATGACGAAAATAGTCCGAATAATGTAAATAGTGTACATAAGACTTCATCTCAGAAATATCGACAGATAATCAAACTATTTCAAATTAAAAACCAACGTGTTTCATAGAGCAAAAATAAATTAAGTTGACCTAAAAAACTTAACGCCATTTTAGGAAAATTAAGTAGTGTCTTTTTCGAATATATAACTTCTATAATAAATTCAATTTTCCTTTAAAAAACCAAGTACGATTTACGATATTTGCTAAACTGAATAGGGAAAACTAAATTGGACCTTTTATTTTTTATTTGTTGCACTAATTAATATTAAACACTTTAATTGCAAAACCTACTAATCTTAAAAGCCTCGTCTTCCCTAGCAAGACTGGTCGAAGAATTTTTTTTTCAAACAAAATCGTATAATACATTTTTTTAAAATATTTCTAGTTTCGATCATTCTCCTGGTTACGATAATAATTTTAGCATCAATTTTCCAACATCTCCTGAGCACTTTCCACATTAATAAACCATTATCAAATAATGTTTTATAATTCGATAAGACTGTCTCTCTATATATATTCAATGTACTTCTTTGGGGAATTGCAAGTGTCAGATCTTTACGCTTCGGTGGGTGGTATATCTTTTTTTATTCCGAAATTCAAAACGAGACACACGAAAACCGTCATACATTATATATATTTTATATATATATATATATATATATATATATATATATATATATATATATATATATATATATGTGTGTGTGTGTGTGTGTGTGTGTGTGTGTGTGTGTGTGTGTGTGTGATTAAAACTGAGATATAAATAAATGCTTCTACAAAAAACATTAATAAAAGGACAAGAGGATAACCCTTTATGCCGACGCATTTCGTAACTTGAGTAACTTTACCAAGACATCTATAGAAATCTTATAAAGAAATTTGAAATTATAGACATAGAATAAAAGTATTGCTGAAGAAAAATAACGTTATGAATTCAAATTTGAATTAGAGAACACTCTAAAATATTCGGAAATCTAGACGTTAAGTAAAGGAAACTACGGAAGGCGCTAAGTGATGTAAAATTTTGACATGTTAAACAAAAGAGAATTAATGATCTTATTATTGTTTTATTATTATTATTATTATTATTATTATTATTATTATTTAAAAAGCCCTCAGTTAACCATTTTCCTTTAATTCTAAGATAATTATTATTGTAAATAATGTTAGATTTAGAAAGGATGATTTCTTTTAAGAAAGGGTATATTTGAAAAATCCTGAAAGTAAGGTTGTGCTCGACCTATTATCTATTAACGTAATTCCAAGAACTTTTCGTTTTAGTAAGTTATTTTCTCGCTTAATAAGGACAATTACATCATGATTCTTCTGTTAAGCTTGAATATTAATTATACATTCTTATTGCTTCAATAATGTAATAAAAACCTCTGAATATTCCAATAAGATATCTGTAACCCTTTCTAATATGCAAAGGGGCAAAATTTAATTAAGGACAATTTTTTATCGCATTTGAAATTATTTTTTGCGTATAACTAATGCATTGGGTAATTTGTTATGTAGCATATATTTTGTTAGTAAATAAGTTTTTTAAAGTTTCTAGCAGTTTCACCAATATATTTTTAAGAACAACTGTTACAGTTTATCTTATATGTGCTTGCTTCAGAATTATTGTTATTATGAACATTTTTGATTATGATCGTTTCCGTAGTTTTGGATGTAGTAACTAAAGTAATATTAAAACTGGATACATTATTTTTCACAGGGGACGATACGGAGTTGATAGATAATATTATATTTCTATTTTCATCGAACTTATTATTTCAAATTATAGATTTTGTGTTCTATTCTTTTAGCATTATGTGTGAAATAATAAAGATGTTGGAGGTTTTTAAACGTATTTCAGTATATATTTCATTCTTCGTGTAAACGTTGACTGCTACAGATTTTTATCACTCTTTAATAAAATCCTATAATTATGCGGGATTTTAGTTTTACTACAGTGGTAATAATAATAGTTTTTCAGGACGTATTGGCCACTTGATTTTCTGTAAACTTTTAATTGGGATCCGTTACTATCGTGGGTTATTAAATCTACTTACAAGGTTTTGTTATATATCGATTAATTGATTTGCTTGTTTGCTTGTTTAACGGCATATCAACACCTTATAAGTCATTTAATGCTGAAATTTAATTTTCTTGGCAGTTTTGAAGTAATAATATATCTTATTCTGCTTTCACATTTGAATACATGGTAGATGATACTCAGCTTTTGTGCATATACATGTTTGTTGGTCAGTTGACTTTCTTTAGCGGTATATCAAACTCTATGGTTTATTTAATGTCGAAATCTAAATTTTGTACATAATTTTATAGTTTCAAGTTAAAAGACATGTTCTTAAATATTTAGTTTATAGATCATAAAATGTATTGCTGGTAATTTCACTACAAAAAATGTACTGTTGATTTTTGTTTGGGGGATCACTATTTGCCCATGGCTGGGACCCTAACAGGTGCTAACACCCCTGTCAGAATGGACCTGGGGACAACAGCAATTAAGAGCCGGTTCCACCTCCAATTTCCCAATCAGAGACCTTAATGCCAGATCTAGTTTATTGCTATACTCAAGATGGGGTAATATATCCAGGTCTGGTAATATTCCATGGGGTTATAGTAGTTGCATATCATCTGTGTACATAAAATAAGGGGATATATTTCAGCGGGCCCACGTCCGCATCGAATATGACACGGTAAGTTTAAAGTGGGTATAAAGGCCAATACCGTGGAAAAATTTATCAAGCTCCTTTGTCAATTCTCCCTTTGGGGTTGCCGCAGATACTGGGCTATAAACCGAAGCTCTTCCTGAAGGAGGGGTACTTCCCTGGAGGGATAGCCCCTTGGGCGTGAACATAAAAAAAAGAATTGTGGAAAATATTTCAGAAGGATTGCTTTCTATAAACATCAAAAAGAGAAGCTAAAACGTAGCTAACAGAGGGACATTAATTAAAGGGGCTACAAAGGATATGAAGTAGTGGAGATCCATATCCAGAAGGTAAACAACGGATAAAAGAAAAAAATACATCATATCTGTATTTGAGGCTTGAAGTATGTAAGCATGAATCTTATAACACATTTAGGATAGGAGATGAGAAAATTGAACTTAGAGCAGGCTGTTCTAGGAGTAGTTTCACACAATACCACCAATTGCTACAAATCCGAAACATTAACCAAAAACGTGTCATGTTCATAAATAATCAAAACGAAACTTTCCTGTTGATGTCATGCATTCTACCTGACCCATTCAGATATGTCTGGACTATTAGTTGTATACAACCGATTTCTCCGATCGATGGTTAAATTCACTTCAAACGAATGCATTCTGTCGGTCTTAGTGAGGTCTTATTTAAACCTTGGCGTAACAGAATCACAAACTGTGCCCAAAAGCAGAAACTACATTACTTGAGAACATTCAACAGCAGCAACAACTAAAATGGACAGCACATGTAACGCGATGAGAAAATAATGACATGATCAAGATGTCGATGTACTTGACTGCCCCAAACAAAAGGTTAGGAAGGTAAAAACACATAATTACTGGAAAAGGCAATAACAGTGAACTTGAGGACCTATTTTCTAGAAAAAAAAAGTTTTAATATAAAAATTTTATGAATTTCAAACGGCAGGTTGCTCGGTCAATGAATGAGGAATGTTTCCTTTAAAGGGAGCGGCTAATATTGCATTATTAGAAAATCGAGAATTAACGCACAATGATTTGTATTCCAGGATCATAGGAAGTGCAAGATATTAAAAAAAGAGTGTATTGTTGGTCAATCCGAATGTAGAATGAACCAGTATCAAAAGCAGGAATTACTCTTTCAGTTGGAAATCATAAGATGGAAAAAAAAAAAAAAACAATTATGTAATAAAAGAAAGGAAATCACGTTTCATTCTGTCCCCCGTCAAAGCCGTCTTTTTGTGAGCGTATTGGAAATAAAAAAAAAAAATCTCGTTCCAAGGCAGTAGAATCCGCAAGGTGTATTGAAGTTTGACCCCCAAAACGGAAGTACAATAGTTTGATTATTGTTGCGAAGACCCACACAGACAGAGAAAGAGAGAGAAAGAGAAAGTGTGTGATAGAAAGAGAAAGTGACGGAAAGAGAGAGAGAACGATAAAGAGAGAGAGAGAGTGAGAGAGAGAGATAGAAAGAGGATAGTGAGAGGGAGATAGAGAAAGAAAAGAGAAAGAAAGGAAAGAAAAGAAAGATAAAGAGAGAAAAAGAAAGATAAAGAAAGAAACAAACAAAGAGAGAAAAAGATAAAGAGTGAGAGAAAAAGAAAGAAAGAAAGAAAGAAAGAGAAGCAGAAAGAGAGAGACATGCGCAGAAGGAAAGATGAGGAGAGAAACAGAAACAATGATAAAGAGAGAGAGAGAGACAAAAAGAAAGATAAAGAAAGAGAAAAACAGAAATAAAAATAAAGAGAGAGAGAAAGATGAAGACAGAGAGAGAAAAATAAAGATAGAGGAACTTAAAGAGAGTGAGATAAAGAGAGGGCGAAAGATAAGAGCGAGAGAGAGAGAGAGAGAAAGAGAGTAAAGAGAAGGAGACAACTAAAGATAAAAATAAAGAGACAAAGAAACATCAAGATTGAGAAAAACAACGAAAGACAGAGAGAGAGAGAGAGAGAGAGAGAGAGAGAGAGAGAGAGAGACAAAGAAAGATAAAAAAGAGACGGAGAGACAACGTAAGACAAAGAGAGAAAGAAAGAAAGAAGAATAAAGAGAGAGATGGGGGGGCAGAAAGCAAGATGAAGATAAAAACCGAAAGAATGAAAGAGTGACAGAAAGAGAGAAAGCAATATAGACATAGATATGGATATATAAATAGATCGATAGATTGATAGAGAGAGACAGAGAGAGGGAGAGAGAGATAGGGTATAGAGAGGAAGAGAGATATAAAGAGAATAATGTGTAGAATAACCAATTTCAATAATTGAGAAACTGTTACAGTTTGAGAGTAGCCTTTATGTCTTGTTCAAGGGAGATAACCATTGAACAAGACATAAATACTTTAATGTCAGTATTTAAGTCCCGAGCTCTTCCACGGTATGCTGACCTCAAAGAACAATATTAAAACATTTTCGGCGTTGAGCTTTTATGTTTTTAAAAAGGACAAACATAAAATCGCAAGCGTTCGCGGGCTATTTGTATGATTCAAGCTTCTCTACTTACCAACATACCCAACAAGGCAAAATGTGGCACAAGGCTAGTTTTTAACTTCAAACGAATGCATTCTGTCGGTCTTAGTGACGTAGGCTCGGGCAAAATTTTCCCGTAGACCCCGTATACACAGGGTCGAATTTGTCTACCTCTCCAAACGAGGCTCTGCCTTTCGGCAAAGCCTCGTCTGAGTTCCTCTCGGCCCGGAGGCAGAGAGTTCGACCAGAGAGGAAGAGGAAGAGAAAGCCTCTTTCTAGCTTCAAGATGAAAACGATGGATATATATAATTTAGCATTCTCCTCTATATCTCTTATGTATGGCTCAGGGCCAATTAAAAGGAGGTGATTGGCCATGCAGCTTTGATATCAACGGTACCTATTAATTTTGTATATCTGTTTCCATTATTTGTGCGGCAGAAAAATCAACAACAGTAAGAAAAATGACACTTGTTTTAATGTGTAAAGACGTAGACGATCATGGCTCTCCACTTCCCCCTATCCCTTGTAGCTCTCAATAAGTTTCGTCCCTCCTTCACCTCCCCCAGACCACGTTCTGTCATCCATTTGCTCAAGCAAGGGGATGATAGAAGCTTTACCTTGTCTCTCTTACCCTTTATTCGACCTGTGAGTATCAGATTCTCCAGGCCCTCCTTTCTCATTATGTGTATCAGAAACTTCAGTTGCCTCTTCCTGATGTTAAGTATAAGCCTCCTCCTTGTTTGCATCCTCTCCAAGACCTTATCGTTACGCACACGCTCGGTCCATGATATCCTCGACATCCTACTGTAGAACCACATTTCCGTCGCCTCGAGTCTCCTCTTCATTTTTGAAACCGTCCACCATTCGCTGCCGTAAAGGAGGACAGATGTCATGTAACAGCTCAGTACTCCTTTCTTTGTTACCAAAGAGATCCTCCTGTCTCGCAATATTCTGTCCGCTTTTGGAAAGCGTCTTTGGCCATCCCAATAACTCTAGGGATTTTTTAGTGTCGCACTTGCCGTCGTCTGTCAAAACACTTCCCAGATATTTAAACTCCCGCGTCTGTTTGATTATAGTGTTGCCGACCTGCAATTCGCATTTCGGGCTCATCCATTCTGTTATGTGCTTCTTAAACAAAACAACACTCGATAATTAACAGAACCGGCGCTAGGGTCTTGCCCCCACCGCAAAACAATGATACGTAGGCCACCTCTCTACTACATGTCTATTCCAAAGTTCCCCAACCTGGGGGCCACAAACATTCAAAGGAAAATTGTGTGTAAAGGGCAGCGCTTTTTTTAAATTACCAAAAATCAGGGAATTAACCAATTTAAGGGAAAATTTCAGTACATATACATTATGTACTTTAAGAAACCTCGGCGCCGTGTAATGGTTAACAAGCTTGTCTCGCTAAAACAGTTACAACTGAGTAGTGAGTTCGATCCTCGCTAGGTGCCCCATACTTTCGTCTTTGTGCCACATCTAAGCTACGCTTAGATAATCAATATTCATTATATATTTTGATAATGACGTTTTTTTTTTTTTAAATAAATCTAAGAAAATGTTATTCTTTAAACACCAATATTTTCATGACTAAATTTTAATCAAAAAAATGTTAAGGTCGCGAATATTTTACATTTCCATAAAGATTTATCACCGACACATCTCCGCTGAAAAAATTACAAAGATTCCAACACAACACAAGCTGGATTGTCTTAAAAATTTGTTTTAAAAACAGTATTTCAGTTTACGGGAAAAAAATTTCATGTGTTGAAATCTGTAAACAATTTTATTTTTTAAGCGATCATTTTCTCGGTTTTATGTTTCTAGAAATGCAGAAAATAGGGACTAGAAATTTTATTTTAATTACTAGTCGTGGACTTTTGGTTAGTATTAATATTAGTGTAAAAAAAATCAAAGATCTTCCTTAGTGGATGATCTCGGAATAAAAATGATTTTACTGGGATATATTACTCTCTGAATTGATTTAAAAGAACTGCTCAGAAAGAAAACAATTATAAAAAAAATAAGCGCTACTGAAATTAGCACGACTGCTCCTACCTCCACAGTAACATGGGGAGCCCCACGCTGTTGAGGGGTTCGGTACTGTAAGCACCGGCCCTGTCGATTAATATAGTGGATGACTGATAATATAACTTAGGTAGAAAAAAAAAAGTAAAAGTACAAAAAGCTAAAAAACGCCGCCGAAACTAGTCATTTTAGGGCTTCAAACTCATTGAGGGCCCCTGCGTAACGTCAGTTTAAAAATGATTTAATAAATAGCCATAAAGAAAAATTAAAAAAATGGCCATAAAACAGTGCTGAAAAAATGGCAGCGACCCCAACAGTCCCCGCCCCTTCCGGGTCGGAGGTTTCGATGTTAAGATACACCAGGCATGGTAATAAATGCAGTGGGCAGCTGAGTTATTGGAGAGAACAGTTCCTCTTCCAAGTCTTCTAGATGCCGTGTCCCTTCAGGTAGTGGGTGGTTATGGCTCTTCGCATTTTCTTATTCTTAGTAAGTTCTATCTTTCCACTGTCCTTACCATTCTTTGTTCTACGATCTGTTTGTTCCTTCCTTTATTTTTCTTTCTGCTTTTCTCTATCTTTATCTTTCATTTTGTCTCTCTCTCTCTCTTTATCATTTTTTCTGTTTCTCTCCTCATCTTTCCTTCGGCGCGTATCTCTCTCTTTCTGCTTCTCTTTCTTTCTTTCTTTCTTACTCTTCATGAAAGTATAAAAAAGAGTTTTATATCGAAAATACCATCAATAGATTTTAATAGAAAAGAAAAATTTACAAAGCTCCCAAGAAAATAACATTTCGGCATTAAATAACCTATAAGGAGTTGCTATGCCGTTAAGCAAATAAACAAAGTTCTTGTTATGACTGTTGCTTCCTGCTTTATTCTGCTTTTCTTGCCTTCAATATGTCATGTGAGTACCTAATTCTCCAAGTTTCGTATTCTTGCAATAGTTTATAGTAATGTCATGTGTCTCATTCTGATTTTAAGTCTAAGAGTCTAAATTAAGTATAAATATAAGCAACACCATCTAATTTTTTTCTGCTTTCAAGAATGTAGGCGAGCGCTCAGTATGGACCCATCAGCCTCCTCAGTGTCATTAGCAAGCTTTTTGAAGCTAAAATCAACAAAAAGATTGTTCATCACATCAAAAGGGATCACCTCTTGACCGACAAGCAATACGGATTTCGATCAGCTTGACTAAATGCTTATATCCTAGCTGCCATTACTCAGAGAATCAATGAGGCACTAGAGAACAAATACATATCAAGACGAGTGCATTAACTATTTCAAAGACATTTGATAATGTATAGTATGGAGAGTTAATGCACAAACTCTCTTGCTATGAAATCACTGAAAGAGTCTTCTCAATTATGAAGTCCTTCCTAGCGCGTAGATCCCTGAATGTAGATGTTAACAGCCAGTCCTCCGATGCCCAAGGGATCAGCGCAAGTCTTCCCTATCAAGGCTTATTTCTCGGCACAAACCTATTTTTACTTGCTATAATACCTAAGAGTATTCCGATGATTTGTGAATATCTATGCTAATATGTGGATGTACATTTGTAATAATATTGGAAAAGCTCTAGTAAATTGAAAAACATTAAATTCCGATAGACTGAAGATATACCGATAACCAGACGAGGGAAAAAATCAAAGAAAAGGAAATTTGGAGTCTGGCTATATTTCTGAGATGAGGTATTATGTACATTATTTACATTATTCGGACTATTGTCCTCATCTTTGTCGTCATATTTATTACAACGTTCCGGCCGTTGTACGCTCCGGCCTTCTTCAGGTGGTTGGAATGTCGAACTGAACCCTTTATTTCGCTCACTGGGGTAAACTGTTCTAGTTCCACGTGCCATGTCTAATGGATGTCAGTTATCTCCTGTTCATTCTCCTCTCAAAGTTCTATACCGCCTTAACCAGGTATTGAACTCACACACTTTGGAAACTGTCACTGGATCTAACTTTATCCTCAAGGACACATGGCACAGTCGATAAAGGCGTTAGTTAGATCCAGTGACAGGACCCAAAGAGTGTGAATTCAATACCTGGTTAAGGTGGTGGAGAAATTGGAGACTGTTCTAGTTCCACGTGCCATGTGAAATAAGGCCGGAGCGTACAATGGCTAAAACGTTGTAATAAATATGGCGACAAAGATGAATAATGTAAAAGAAAATTTGTTTTTTTTTTATTGAAAAAAAAAATGAGGGTAATTAAATTTCTCGTCCACCGGAGAGGTAAGACAAAGAGACCATCTGGTTTCGATTAAGAGCTGTGATCGGGTGACGAGCTATTCTGGCGATCAAGGACGTCTCCGAACGAAATAGATAATATTTTTACGACCGTTGAGCAACGGAGAGAGAAAAAAAAGTAAAAGAACGATGAGAATGAATGTTGAACGATAATTAAAATTTGGCCGTTGGGCTAAGACGGGTTTGGTCAAGTGACCAACAAGGAGAGGGCCTAGGTGGAACTTCAGGGAAGGCGGTGGACTTTCCACGCCCCTCGGGCAGTGATGGTGAGAGGCATTCACACAAAGCAGGAAGGAGACGAAGTTGATCAGATGATCAAGAGAAGGCTCAAGTAGAATTTCAAGGAGTGGGGAGGGAGTCCCCATATTTAGACATTTACAGGGAGAGCCCTGATTGCTTGTTTGGCGAACGCCAAATTCAAGGTAGAGGGTTATTAATCTATAATAAACCTCTACCTCGAGTGGCTCTTAGGCTTTGTACAGGTCGTATATCATTGTAACAAAAATATATTGAATCGAATACAGAAGAATATGCTTGGCAACGATTGTCAATGCGCATATCGTACATAATTTCTTTTCCACTTACAACTCGACAAATATAGTTTCGTGCCAAGGTTATCCTCGTTTTTGAAATTATCAACACAGACTCTAGACAAAATCGGAGCTGCCTTCACCACGCAAGAAACTTAATCCTGTCCATCAATCATATAAAAATGATGTTTATTTTTCTTTATTCTTTGCAGGATTACATCTAACTTTTCTCGAATCGAAGATTCCATATATCCACTAACCTTATCAATTTTCTTAATTTGCAATATCATATATATATATATATATATAAGTAATTATTTTATGTATATATGTATATATATTATATTATATTTATAAAGTATATATATATATATATTATATTTATAAAGTAATGTTAAACTTATAAAGTAATTATTTTATGTATATATGTATATATATTATATTATATTTATAAAGTATATATATATATATATATATATATATATATATATATATATATTATATTTATAAAGTAATGTTAAACTTATAAATATTACATATTTTTAAGTCTACCGCCTGTCATTGCTTCGAATATTGCTTTCACATATGGTCTAGTACTCCTGCTATGTATTTAGAGATTTTTGATAAAATCCAAAGAACTATTTGCAATCTTATTAGTCCTGATCTGGCATCTCAGTTTTAGTCATTTTCCTACCGCTGTGATGTTGCTTCTTTGGTGTTTCTATAAACATTTCATAGTAATCGCTCTGGTGTACTAGTTACGACTACATAGAGACTGGAGGTATTATGGTGGCTGGAGTATGTATGTATTGTTTTGGTATAAGTAATACTGTGGTATGTTTGGGTCAGTGATCGTGGCTAGATAAGTTTAAGACAGACTGAAGACAAGCCTTTCCCTTATCCCTAAGTTTGGCTTTGTGCCACATTTTTGTATTATTCAAAATAAATATTACTTTCCTCTATGGTACCTAGACTTAATTAATTACTTTTCCTCTATGGTACCTAGACTTTATTAATTTAAGCACATTACTAGATTGGTGGCAAGTTCTCATCATTTGATAATTGAAATGGCTATATGTAACCGCAAGTTCTATGCGAACAGTTCCCTCCATTGCACTTATCGCTGGTGGAACTCTCTTCACAATAAACCTGTATCCTATACGGAACCGTCATATAGCCTGACGTGCCTTAACCGATTGAGCCACAGAGGATCGTTCCGTTAGAAAGGTCGATTTTACTGCTTTTAAACTACAATCACATACATTCATATTTGCTCAATATTTAAATATTTGTGTCTATAAAAAGAATTTATAAACATAAAAATGTCTTAAAATAATTGTCGGACTTTGTTCATTTCATAATGTGTGAGGTCATTTGTTTACATTTGGATACGCATTGAGCAGATATGAATGTACGTGAGAGAATCATGGAAGATTGTAGTTTAAAAGCAGTAAAATCGACCTTGCGACCGAACGATCATCTGTGGTTAAGGCACGTCAGGCTATATGACGGTTCCGTATAGGATACTGGTTCGGCTCCTGTCGGAGGACGAATACTTTCTATGAAAATTTCTCGGACATTCAGGCCGGTAAATGTTATTAATACTGCTTATTATAAATAGAGCATTTACTTAAATATTTGTATCTATAAAAATAATGTATAAACATAAAAATGTCTTAAAATAATTGTCGGACTTTGTCCATTTCATAATGTGTGACGTCATTTGTTTACATTTGGATATGCCATGAGCAGATATGAATGTACGTGAGAGAATCATGAAAGATTGTAGTTTAATGACAGTAAATTCGACCTTACTAACCTACCGCTCATATGTGGCCAAATCGGTTAAAGACACGGCAAGCTATATGACGGTTCCGTATAGGTTACAGGTTCGATTCCCGTCGGAGGACGCCTATTTTCTATGACAATTTGTAGGCCATTCAGGCCGGTAAATGTTGTTTAATACTGTTTATTATAAACAGAGCATTTACTTAAATATTTGTGTCTATAAAAATAATGTATAAACATAAAAATGTCTTAAAATATATATATATTCCTTTTACTAAATCCACACATTGTCTTCCTTATCTTGTGTTTTTGGGCGGGAAATGATTATTTTCAAACATTAACTCCTTTGCACACTCACCCGCAGAGAAAGATCAGGGATTGGAACATTTAGTCAGAATTATTACTGGTTATAATGGTCGTATAATGACTGACGCCATTGAACCCAGAACCGATTTGACTTGTTCAGCACCTCAATTATATAATATTTCAGCCATTCATCAGTGCCTCATTACATTCATATCCCTAGGACATGACCCTTATTATTTCCTCCTGGTAATTTTCTTTACCTCGCTATACTTTCCGCCGTGTAATGTTAATTGTTTAAGATTCATCTCAGTATTTCTTGATAAGAGAACTGACACTTAGGAATAATTGCTCAAGGCTGTCTTCGGGCAGCAAGCTATTCTTGAGAGACTTTTTTTTTCCTACAGCGGACGTCTACAAGACAAGGTATCCAAAGTAATAAATGTAGCTTTAACTATCCCAGTCATGTTATTTTTAAATTGTGAAAGGCAAGGGTGGTGGACAGTGGCGATTCTGTGGGGGCGGGAAGAAGGGTCCAATGTCGTCCCCTAAGAAGTTTGGCTGGCTCTTCGGTTGCCCCCTCTTTTTATAAGTTTTGTAGAGGAAAAAATCAGAGCAGACAAATTACACTGTTCTGCTAGTATTGACGTTAGTATTAATCCTTTGATTTTGTTTTGAAGTTAACCTCTCCTGTGATCCAACAGTTTGAGAGTGGAAAAGAGGGCAAGAATAGATTAGAACTCCACTACTATGAATGAAAAGTTATTCCATTTAATTTAGTAAAGTAGCATACTGATACTAAAACTCATTTCTAAGTTGTGTATACAATGGCGCTGCTTGAATTTGATCCCACCTCCTCCGCAGAAAAATCTCGGCCTCCAAGTGATTCCTGCAGAGTTCCAGAATCGTCACAGGTGGTAGGGTTACTTTAAATGACATGAAGTTCCAAATAAAAGCTTAAATTGGTTGAAACTAATCACTGTTTTCCATTTTATCTTTTATTTTAAACTTTCATTACGTTTGAAAATAGTGACGTCATTAACATCAACCATGAGAGTTTGAAAAGTGATTAAATCAAATGCTTCATTGTAGTAGCTTCATTTGATTTTAGTCTTAAAACGTCTTCCTTACTGTTCATCAAAATAAAAATGTTGTCAACGTACCTTGTGTAGAT